TGGTGCTTTTTGTGTTGTATAAGACATTATTAACTATGCAAATTTAGGAACATATTGTCCTGTGTTTGCCTTATGATTTATGATTCTAGCCTTTATGTTTAGATCTATTATTCAACTCAAATTCATATAAGGAGTGAGGTATATGATGTAGGTTCATTTTATCTTCTATATGAATACCCAGTTGTTCAGGACCATTTGTAAAAACATCCTTCTTTTCCCATAGTTGATGTGGAATTTGATTACAAATTAATTTTTTAGGTTCCACATGAGTGAGATTATGTAGAATTTTATTTCTGTGCCTGGTTACCAGGAGCTAGAGCAGTTGTGGGACTGGGCTGATGTTAGTCAAAGGATATAAAATTTCAGTTAGATAGGAGGAATAGATTCAAGAGACCTTTTGTACAACATGATGACAATAATAGCAATATACTATATTCTTGAAAACAATGAGAGTGAATGTTAAGCATTCTCACCATAAAAATAAAATAGTTGAGGTAATATTTATGTGAATTAGCCAAATTTAGTTATTCTACAAACTTCAAATGTTGTACACAGTATAAAATTCAATCTTTCAATTTAAAATAAAAATAAAAAATTAAATATACACATGTCCATTTCCAAAATCTCTATTTTTCAACATATTATTGCTAAATTATACTCATTAATGTAGTATACATTAAGTATTGAAATCAGATATGTAAGTCCTCCAATTTTCACAATAATTCTTGCCTTTTAATATGCAATTTAAAATAAACACATCTTTTTAAAATTTTTCAAAAGAGCTTGCTGAGATTTTGATTTTTTTATTCTAATTACTCATGAGATTTTGATTTTGATTTGCATTGAATCTATAAGCCAATTTGTGGAAGACAGATTACTTAATATTGATATTTCTAATCTATGGACTTGGTATTTGTCCCCATTTTTCTTAAGGTCGTCTTATATATATCTTAGCAAAGGTCTGTAGTTGTCTGTAGAAAAGCCTTTCACATCTGTTGTAAGAGGCATTCCTATTTACTTTGTTTTACATCTCTAACATTGATTTTTAAAATTTCATTTGTTCAATTCTTGTTGCTAGGATAATTATAATTTATTTTGTATATAATTTTATATACCGCGGCCTTGTAAAATTCACTTATTAGTTCTATTCAGGGCTTCTTATGTGTAGATTCCTTATAGTTTTGTAATACATATAAACTGCTAATCATGATACTTTTGTCTCTTCTTTTTATCTTTTCATTCACTTAGGGCATTGGCTAGGAATTCCAGTATAATATTGACTGTCAGAATATACATCCTTGGCTCATTTCCAATTCTGGGGGGAAACTTCTAATATTTCCCTATTAAGATGTCAGCTATGGGATTTTTTTCTAAGTGTACGTGATCAGATTGACGAATTTCCCTTTTTTTCTACTTTGCTGTGAATTTTCATAATGACAGAGTATGAGGTTTGTCAATTACTTTTCTGCATCTGTTGAACTGATTATATGTAATTTCCCCTTTCATTATGTTAATGTGGTGAATCACTGATTTTTAAGTGTCTAATGCAGGTATTTAAAGCTATGGGTTTTCTTCCATTTCCCTCCTCTTTAACTGCAGCCACAACTTTGGTATATTACGTTTCCTTTTTCATTCAATTTGGAATGATTCTAGTTTCCCTTGTGCTTTCTTTTTTATCCTATGTATTGCTTAGATGTCTATTGTTTAATATTCAAATAATTTGAGGTATTGGTTTCTAATATAATATCTTGAGACTTTATATGATTCCAATATTTGTAAACTTATTAAGACTTTTTAAAAGTATTATTATTATTATTATTATTATTTTCATTTTTGGATCTTTATATTTATGTGGTGCTGAGAATTGAACCCAGTGCCTCACACGTGCTAGGCAAGTGTTCTACCACTGACCCACAACCCCAGCCCCTTATTAGGACTTTTTGTTATGAAACAGTATATAGTCTATCTTGATGAATACTCCTTCTAGTCCTAAAAGTAATGGTGTGTTTTGCAGTTGTTGGATATAGATATTAAATATCAGTTCTATTTTAACATCACAGATTCTTCAGGTTATTATCTAAATCATTAAACAATTATCTAAATAACCCAACAATTAGTGCTAAGAACCTTTCAGAAGTGACCCAGATTAGAGTACTTAGGGTTTCCCATGTGACCCAATATTTACATTGAGCCTTATCATCCTTCAATTGGGTTTCATGTCATAAATGAAACTTGAGACCAAATAAATTACCCCTAGTCTATTAGATTCAATTGGAAACAGTATACCATTCTGGAATTCAAACACAAAGCCAAACTAACATTTCAGAATTATGTATATAGAACAATGATAATCTTTCTTTTTTGTTCTTTTTTATAGATAGGTAAATATCACAAAAGTCTGTAAGCACACTGGTCTGTAAGGGGACCAGGTGGAGGGAGGGAGGGAAAGGGGAAGTACTAGGGAAGGAAATTGACCAAATTATGTTATGTACATGTACAAATATGTCACAATAAATCCCACTATTATATATAATTATAATGTACCAATAAAAAAGAATACCGATTTGTATATAGATTATTTTTTCCTGAAGTTGAGTTACTAGAAACCAACATCAGGTTACTTCTCATTACTACCTACTACATTCACACCTAAGTCTTAGGTGTAGACACAGGTATATGTGTGTTCACATTCATGTAGCAGAAACCTACCATAGAGAAATAACATGTTCCTAGGTCAAAGTAAAAAATACACACTGGTAAAGAATTCTTGTCCAGTAAGGTTGGAAGCTTAAAAGCATAACATCAGCTTTTAATTCTGAAGGATCTCTTAAGACACTACAGTATCTGAAATCTCTCTCAGGCTTATCAATGTTGTAGAGAAAAGTTTAGTATGTTTTAAAAAACTATTCACAAATATAAGTCTATTGAAGAAAAAAAATAAATCCTAGTTAAAACAATAAATTGGCAGCCATATTTCTAAGTGCAGAGAGGGTCTTACTCTATGCCAGTGTCACATTTGACAAGGATTAGGAAATTTTAACCTTCAAACAAACATACTGTGTGTTCATATTATATTTATAAATTTTGGCATTCTAAAACCTATAGTCATAGATTAAGATCTGTACACTGTTCACTAGAATCAGATCTTGACTTCTGCTTAGATTTTTCACCAACCTAAATAATAAATTAGTAGCCCACAATGGTAAGGAGATAAAAACAGATTGCAATGCAGCTCAAATTTTCTTCAAGCTCTTGCATATGTTCAAAAAGACTTCCATTTCATTATGTTTGAGTTCTTTGAGTAACTTATAAAGGACTTAGAGTAATAACCATTTTTTTCTAGTAACCTAATGATCCATCATTCATTTCTACCGTTGTGCATATGCTCTTTCACTTTTACAGTTATAGAACAGTCAGTGCAGCATCTCAGTTTAAGTTATTGACACCGTAGATACAGAATTGTTTTATTTCTTCCTGCTTTGGATTCTCTCATAATTAAACAGTATATTAGGCAGACCCATCTTTACAATGGATGCTATAAAAAGTCAAATGCAAAAGAAGAGTATGACAAAGCTCAAAAGTTAATAATTGAACCAAAAAGAGAATTGTGGCTATGTTGTAAAGTAGGAAAGCATGGTCCCTGACACTTCATGGGCATTTATTAGATATGTGATTATGAATGACTTAATCAAATGTAATGTGATCTGTAGCCATTACAATAGCCAGATATATCAGCTAAATTTTGAGCCAAAGGCAAACCACAAAAGAACATGTAGACTCATTTGATTCTTTTGAAGCATCTTTCACTCACCAAAGGTTAACATTCCCTTCAATAAGCTATATAGGCATGGCTGAAGCAATGAAAATGTGATCGCTCTGCTATTGTAGGCTGTATAACAAAAATACAGATAAAGCGTACCTTTTGATTATCTGCCCATCTGCATCAGCCAGAAGTCATCAATGGCATTATAAATGCACCTATCATTGACCCACAGCATCTTCATGGAGAAGCTGAATGACATCTCCATTTCTAATTAGGAGGTCTTCTGAACCTCTCTTCCTGCAGTCTGCTAGGGCTTTATGTTTGCCTAGAGATTGTAATGGTGTTTTGAAAAATTATATTACAAACTTGATTGCAAAACTCCTTCAAGAACTGCCTGCTCTCTGTAACAAAGAATTCAGTCTTTACTTCAATGATAAATGGGGTAGCTGCAGTAGCTTTGCAGGAACAAAGTGGAGCAGTTTGTGATAGGAAAAAAAAAAACAGAACATGTGTTTTTATAACCTGAAGAATTCTTTTTTATTTGGAAAAAGAATTACAGCATGAAATGTACAGAAAATAATAGAGCACAACTAATTTGTTACATGAATTATAAGCATAAACCCAGAAAAGAAAACAAGCATGAAAATATTAAATTTTAAATACAATTATTTGTAAACTACTGTCAGGAAAATTTTATCTTGGCACATACAAAAGGCAATAGCCCTGAACAAAATTTACTAACACCCCCCAAAGGATTTATGAACTCTATCATTTTGCACAGGTTAATGTAAGAGGCACCAAAGCTCTAGGTTCAATAAAAGCATATTAAATCATAATGTTGTGCTTCACTTGACTGTAATCATTTTGCAGCCATAATTTAACTTAGTTCATAATAAGCTAAATAATCCAAGGCACACTGATTGCATTTGGTTACAAAGTAGATAGAGAAGAAGTGATTTTTCAAGTCCAAAAGTATTCTGAGATGAGAATTTTTGCAGCACAATATTTTACATGTTGAAATGCATGATTTTAGAAATAAAGAGTATCATAATTAAAATGTTGTAAATGAAAGTAAGGAAATAGTTATGTGCTGTTGATTCTTTGCATGTCCAAAGGAATCAACCTGAAAACAATATCCACATCATTTGGGCTGAATGTCTTTTGAGCAGTATTTTTTTCCAAATGAGCTGAGGAGCGGGCAGGAAAGAGCTACTTGCTATTTGACATAGCAGCTTCATCAAAATAGGAGAGCCATCTCTGACACGGGTCTCTACAAGGGAAGTGGAACCCATTATTTCTCAGTCATTTGACTTGATAAAGTGAAGCCAGAAGAACAGCTTATCCCAGCTTCTCTGGGGAGATGTATAGAATGCACAGCATTGCTCTTCCCCATATTTTCCTTAGCACAACTCAGAAAATTATTTAGAGAAGAGAGGAAAACCAAGAGGTTTTTCTGTATTCCCATCCACTGTGATTAAAGCATTAATCAATTTTGCATATTTACTTTATTTTTTGACATCATAACTGGAAAAATGGCTACTTAAGACAGTTCCTGACAATCCTTTCATAGATCTGTAGCAAATGTTTAAACACAAATTGGGTTCCTCTAAAGGAAGATGCCTCTCACATCTGAACAACTACCTTGATCCACTTCATTCTCAGAATTAATTATGGAAATTAAACTTCTTTGTGTTATTAGTCTAAACCAGTGGTCCTCAAAGTATAGGAGGCAGACCACTGGGGGTTCCTGAGAACTTTTTTGAAGGGTCTGACAGGTTAAGCATACATTAAGACAGCATTTGCCTTTTTCACTCTCAGCCTTTCACAGTGGAGTCTTCTAAAGGCCACCAAGTACAATAGATTAAACACAAGAGCAGATATGCAAATCCTGCTGTCTTTTACTAAGTCGTATGTTAAAGTAATTTACAAAAGTAAAACACCACTCTTCTTGCCAATTGTTTTGTTTTGAAAAATATGACTCTTAAATAAAAATGTTGTTTATACACATTTAAAATGGGTTTATTAATTTAAAATAAATCTTATTTCTCAGTTTTAATTTATAGTAAGGTAAATATGAATGGATATAACCTCCATAAATAAGAGTTCTTTGGAGTGGTATATTTTCTAAGAATGTAAAGGATTCCTTCATTCATGATTTGAGAACTGCTGGTCTAGATAATCAACTCTAAGCAAATCTTTTACTCACCACAGTTTCTGCCTCTGTAAATTAGAGGTAATAAAGCTTGGCCTTTTTCATACTAATACTGGTAATATTAATTGATAAATCATTTAGTAAATGTAAGCTACCATGCAAATATGTATAATGGTCATCATATCATTACAAGAAAAAAAAATCTACTACTTTTTTTTAAAAAACAAGCATTTCAGAGTCAATGCTGTGCAGCTTTGTGATTATCAATGCCATTAATCTCTGACACCAACATTCAGCCTTCCAAAATGAATTGGTTCCTCTGAAGGGCACCTAGGAGCAGTCCACTGCAAAGCATCATTTCCACTCTCTAAGCTAATGACTTCAGAGAAGCAGGATTCACCCTAAGCAGTCAGTTCTAATGCCCCTCTACTAACTTGGTAGGATCCTAACAACTTGGAAACTATTTCTTCCATGAAATACTTCTACCCCAAACCCTTTCACTTTATGGGGTACACCCTTGCTCACCCATGCTGACATTTGATATCATGAGCACATTTTTTGAGAACCCACTAAAATATATCCCCCCCCAGGTATTATTAAATAGTTTTTAGCATGGAATTTTTACTTCCTATATTTTCTGATCTGGATTATAAATTGATTTCTAAAGTTTGTCTGAAGCTCCTTTATTCTCTAATTCTATCTTATATGCATAAATGGAAAACTCAGTGGTGGATAAAATTATACAGAACTATATATACACATAAATAGGTGCATGGAAAATTGGTGAAATATAAACAAGGTCTGTGGATAGTACTAATTTCCATTTCCAGATGATATTACAGTATAATTATGTAACATATTACCATCGGAAAGCCTGGGTAAAGAATAAACAGGACTTTAATACTATTTTTGTTAACTCCCTATGGATTTATAATTATTTCAAAATAAAAACTTAAATAAATTCTATATAATGGGGGAGAAAAATAATGAAAATAATTTTTGAAAAAAGATAAAATTGGTAAATTTGTAGAGATTTGAAGAGATTGACTATTCAATCAACTTCAGTAGGAACTCAAACAAATTCTACATAAAAAGAGAAGTACTTACTGAATGTTCATACGATTTGCTTCAAATCTTCTGGCTATGGAAAGTACCTAATGACTTTAAGGATGCTGACAAAAGATTGTCCCTATGGGCTCCATCTATTTCATCAGTGAAACTGCCTAAAGAATTTCAATTGAATATGCCATTACTAACCATTAGGGGCCTATCTTCTTCTTCATGGTCATCATAAGTAGAGTAGAAATAGTTGCTTGACCATTCCTCAGGCTCTTCAGAGATTCCTGCAGATTGTGACATCTCAGTCCAAACTATAAGAAAAATGTTGAGTATAGCAGTTACTTATCAGTGCTGGTTCACTGCAAGGTGAGAAGTAAACTAGCTGTGATATTTAAGGTTTTAACCTTCAATGGACCAAGATTTGTATCTTCATCTGTATTATAATTGTAGATTAGACCACACTCTTTTATAATTTTTGACCTTTCACAAAGGGGCCAGTTGTATACTTCTTTAATTTTTAGAATGATCACAAGGTGAGATTGGTTGTAAGTTGTTAAAAGTAATAAGTTAAATATCATTTTAGAAAATATTTACCCTCTCTTAGAAAGTCACCTGTTATAAAAAAATTCTTTCTACAGCATTTTTTAATTGGTTCCACTCAAATAGTACCTATCAGATTCTACTTGGTATTATTATTTTGGGTTGGCTTGTCTCTCTCACTAGGCAGAGACTTTGTGTTATACACTGCATGTCTTCTAAGAGCCTGGATGTAGGAGGTGCTTAACTTAAAAAATGAATTTATTTAGATTAAGTAATCTAAGTCTTAAATTAACAAAATCTGATCTTGGCCAAAGTAAACTATGGTATTCATGTGACATTGGAAATCATGTCAACCTTCTCCAACTTGGTTTTCTCACCTATCAAAAGAAGTCATTGATACTAGCTCCTCTCTTTACTGCTCCAGTAAAGAGTGAAGTGACATTTAAATAAAAACTGAACTAGGTTATGATTACTTGTTTCTCCTAAACTAGTGGATTACCCTTCCATCTAAGGACCATCAGATTAAAATACTGAATCAGGCACCCTAATTGGCATCTCTCTAGTGGTGTCCAAGTTGTTTAGGTAATACTACTGTGTGCTTCTATAGCACCCTATTTTAACACTTGCCACATATAATTTTAATTGCTTGTTAAATTATCTCTCTACCCTCCCAGCTATGTGAGAATGCAGCTGAGTGTATTTTAATTATACTTTAGGCCCAAACTTTTGCACAATTCCTGGCACACAGGCCATATTATATTATAACATTTGTTGAACTAAATAAACTATTTAAAATCACTTCATATAACACAATTTCCATAAGGACAATAAATATTCCATCTGTAAGTGATCCTTCCCTATTCATCAAACCATGGTAAGTGAAGGGTGCACTGGCACCAGTAGATGCATTTCATTCATCACTGCATCCTCTAATGCAGGGATTCCCAAACTTGAGCAGGGATCCGAATCATAGAGAGCTGCTCAAAATTTCAGTGGCTAAGCCTCACACCTGGAGTTTCTGATACAGAATGTCTGAGACAAAGCCGAAGAAATGTGCCTTCCATATAACAAGTCCCCAGGTGATACTAATGTTCCTGGGTCCAGGGACCATACTTTGACAACCACTGCTCTGTAGTGCCCAACAGAATGATTTGCATATGCAAGATAGGAGAGCCTGATAAAAATGGGTTGGCTTTGTTTTCTTTAGACAAAAATAACAGACATAGATTTTCCAAATTAACAATGGGAGATTAAAAAAAAGAACTTGCACAGCCATGAATCTCATCTGAGGATGACCATGACACATACCTGCATTTGCTTCTGCCTGAACTGACACAACTGCCTCACTGACCGCCACCATAGCACTGGGTTGTTCCGATTCAGTTTCCTGGATACTTAGAAAAGCTCCCTGTTGCTTTCTGAAATAATAATGTATAAAAATAAGTGAGCTTTCACATAATCTAAGAAATAGTAAGAATTTAGAAATGGTATTTCTTCCATTCTCAGAGAATTCATTCAAAGAGCAGATATTCCCCCCTTTTGAGATCTGTGTGATAGTATGCAAAAGCCTAAATCATAGGATTCAATCCAACAGGTTCTCTGTTATGCAAAGCAAAAACTAATCCTGTCTAGATCCAAGGTAGGTACACTGTGTACAATCCCTGTTACTCTGTGAGCTTCTAATCTCAGTGAATCAGGTAAGTTTTGTATAAATGAAGATGAAAATTTAATTGAGCACACCCCTAAAATCCCAGTATCTTGAGAAGTCGAGACAGGATGATCACAAGGTAAAAGCCAGCCTCGCTAAAGTGAGCTGCTAAGCAACTCAGTGAGACTCTGTCTCTAAATAAAATACAAAATAGGACTGGGGATGTGGCTCAGTGGTTAAGTGCCCCTGAGTTCAATCCTGGTATCAAAAAAAGAAAAAAAAATTAAATTCATTTGTATTGTCACATTTGTACCAGCTACTATTAAGTCAACTACTGCATAAAAATAAGTCTTTATTTCTCTAATATATGATAAAAAGACTGGGTATTGTAAACCCTAGAAGATAAAAGACTTTCATGATTTATTATCCTAAAGCCTCAAATGAAACACCATGTGTTGCCTCTGATTTTATCTACTTCTAAAAAATGATGTGCAACAAAGGAAAAAGAATCTAATAAGTTATTCACAATGATCCCACCATCATGCAGATACTGCATGGTCAATCTCTGTGCCAGGGTTTTGGAATCAGTGTGGGAATTCTTACTGTGTACATGCGAATGTTCTGTTGACAGTCTACCCTTTAGAATTACTAGATGCAGGACAGACCATATCTCTTAAATCAGTAGCAGTGTGCTGTCATATAAGACTGCCACTTTCCTTAAAGACTTCCTGGCTACATCCAAGTTCAGTTCCTTGCCAGTATCCATACCTTCTAACTTATACAAAGAAAGAACAAATCACAAACAAGTGGCCTCCATTCAAGGGATTACAAAGCTAGCTGGGTACAATGGCAATCCCAGCAGCTTAGGAGGCTTAAACAGGAGGATCACAAGTTCAAAGCCAACCTCAACAAGTTAGAAAGGACCTAAGCAACTTAGTGAGACCCTGCCTGACTCAAAATGCGGAAAAAAAAAAAAAAAGGCCGAGGATGAAGCCCAGTGGTTAAGCACCCCTGGATTCAATCCTGGGTACCAAAAAGAGAGGGGGTGGGAGAGGGAAAGAAGGAAGGACAGAGAAAGATTACAAAGCTTACAAAGCTATGAGCCAGTTCTTCATCTGCTTTGTTCCCATATTCTTATAACTCTGTCTCCAATTATCATGATATACTGAAAACAAAGCATTTTAATTGTGTTCTAAATCCAGCCTGAGATATAACTGTTAAGGACTATTAGACTCCAATACAAGATCAGAACTGAGAAAATGATGTTTGTGGAATTTGATGAGTTATTGCTAAAATGATGGGTTGGTTCTTGTCTGAGATACCTTAATTGCATTGCTTCACATTACCTATGGAAAACAGAAGATTGCAGGAGTGATAGTTCTTAAAGAATTATCACTTACTCATCACTCTGCTGAGGAGAAAGCCGTTCCTCTGTAATCGGTTCTTGTTGCTTCCGTTTTTTAACTGTAAATAGAACAAACCTTATATAAGCATCATTTAGAAGCTATACTTCCTACTTAAAGGCCAACAATTTTTTTTAATTTTTTTTTAGTCATAGTTGGACACAATACCTTTATTTTATTTATTTATTTTATCTGGTGCTGAGGATCAAGCCCAGGGCCTCTCACGTGCTAGGTGAGCACTCTACCACTGAGATACAACCCCAGCCCTACAAGGCCAACGACGTTTACAAACATACTCACACACTTACACACAAATCTTTCATAGACCTGAAGTAACCAGAGGAAAGGCCAGTCTGAAGGTAGAATTTGGAAAGGTCCAAATCATGTAATATTTTATTCAAGGAGTTCACATTTTGAACAAGAATCTGTCCCCTATCCCAACTTCACCAGGTACAAATAACTTGAGGTCCTAAAATGAATCATCTCCTGGGAAGGACTAGGAATTAACAGTCAGATCTCTGTGCTGCTTTTAAACAGCTTCTCAAGCCGAGGTTCATTTTGTAGTGTTTGAATTCTCTTGCTGTTTAATAAACCATTTCATTTTAAACATAATAAAGTAAATATTAGCCCCATTCTCTGAAAAAAAATTCACAAAATCTGAGACAATGAGCTATTACTATGCTTGTTCTAAAGAATATATGTTTGGAAAAAATTTAAAAAAAAACAAAGAATGGAAAAAAAAGAATATATGTTTGAATTTACCTGTCATAAGTTCCTGTTGCTTCAACAAAATATTTCTTATTTCTTTTAACCATGACATCTTCACATCTACATTCGGAGCCTAAAGATTAAAAAGGGTAGAAGGTATATTTCTTCTAAAAAGAATGCTTTTATAATTAAACAAATGCAATTAAGTATATCAAACATGATCTACTCCTTAAAATACCATATTCAAATTCTAGTATTTTGATTCTTAAAACTTGTAGGGAAGGAGTAAATCATTAGCCATAAGATAGATGAAATAATGCAGTTCAAGCCATTATAAAATTGCCCTCAATTAATAATCGAATAATAACAAATGGATAGAATGCAAAGTATAAGTTCATTCATTTTTTTTTTTTTTTTTGGTAACAGGAATTGAATCCCATGGGATGCTTAACCACTGAGCCACATCACCAGCCCTTTTTATATTTTATTTAGATACAGGGTCTCTCTGAGTTGCTTAGGGCCTTGCTAAGTTGCTGAGGCTGGCTTTGAACTCATGATCCTCCTGCCTTTGCCTCTCGAGCTGCTGGGATTACAAGTGTGTGCCACCATGCCTGGCAAGGAGGGAGGTTCTTTTAAAAATATATAATTTTTATGTTTAGTTTTGGTAAAATAATGCTCTAATACTTCCAGAATTAAAATTGTTTGGAGAATGATCTTAGTGACTGATAACATGAAAGCTTCCCTACATATCCTCCCATTACTCACAATATACATTTGTTAAATGATTCCAAGCTTTGTTTGGTACTAGGGATTAAACGCAGGGGTGCTTACCTACTGAACCACATACCCAGCCCTTTTTTTTTTTTTTTTTTTTTTTTGAGAAAGGGTCTCACTAAGTTGTGGAGGCTGGCCTTGACCTTGTCATCCTCCTGTATTAGCTTCCTGACTCACTGGGATTACAGATGTGCATCACTGTGCCTGGCCAAATACTATATCTTTAAGCAATTTTATGAACTGCAAACAGTACAGAATTAAAATAAACAAAAATTGCTGAGCACTTGCAACAGATTCAGTCACAAGTCAGGATACAAAGATTTATTGAATATTTGATAACAACATCTTGAAAGGATCTGCTTCCTGTCCCCTTCTGTAATGTAAGATGGACCTTATATCACATCTGGCCAGGGCTTTAACAATATTCTTTAGAAGCAGGGAGCAAACCTTAACTGTTGCATCTTGTAATCATGTACATTTCAAATGATGACAACAAGAGAACTCGGAACTATTACAATCTCTAACTCTAGAAACTTGATGAGGCAGGGAAGTACCTCCCAAACCATCAGCTACAGCTGATAGATCTCCTTGTGTAGTGGTAAAAATTAAAACCCTAAAAAACACCCAAGTTTACCTCAATTTAAAGAAATCATGTGCTACTGCACAAAAATGTTTAAATATACCTTAAAGAATACTCAAATAACAGTTGAGAGTGGGGCCTTTTAAAATGTGACCAAAATTATTTCCTGTGCCACTCAGACTTCTTCCTTTCATTCTTTCTCTCCACCCCCTTTCTGACAGGGTCTCACTATGTTGTCAAGGCTGGCCTTGAATTTATGATCCTCCTGCTTCAGCATCCTATATCACTGGGATTACAGGCCCATGCCACTACTCAGATTTTATATGTTAATGCAGATTACAGTTTCTAGAATAATTTTAAGATGACCAACCTGTATAATATAAACTTCTTCCTTCCCACCATACCAGATTTCAAACTTGCGGTTGTCACCTTTTACATATTCTGTGATTCCAACTTCATCCATCTGTAAGAAATAAAATTTTCATGAGCATTTTATTTTGAATATACAATTACATTAAATATACCCCATCATATTCTTAAAGAGAATGTTTTATTTGGGCAAAATAAAAACAATAATAGGCACGAGTATTTGTTTTCATGGAACTATGCACTTTTGGTGTTCAGACTGCAAGCTCCATTCCAGTGATTGACACAAATGTTATAAATCTAAACATCCACACATCCCATCTATGATTCAATTCTTTTATAAATTATCTGTGTGCTATTCAAGCAAATTATCAGTGAAATCTAATTAAAAATTAGTGAGAAAAGCCACCTGAAATTAATGAAACTTAGTTTTTGAAATTATTATCTGTCAGATAAGTAATAAACTTACAAGATTAACTAATCTCTATAGTATCCCTACAAGTTATAAACATCCAATTTATAAGGCAAGGAAGAACCAGCTAGGAATCTCTCTACTTCCACCAATCCTTCAGACGCTATAGAAACCAAAATCTCTATCATAAGACAGTGATATCTTCCTATAGTCAGTAAAACTTTTGTACATAGTATCTTTTCCTTACCACAGCTTTTCTCCTCCTCTAAATGTCTGTACTTTGCACAATTTTCTTTCATCATTTGCTGCTAATACCTCGGTTAATTACATTTGGGGCAATTTCACTCCCTTGTATGCACCTTCTCTTTTAGCTCTTTTCTCCCTTTCCTCTTTTCTTTCAATTCCTACCCTAATTACCTGAAAGACTATCTCATACTGTTCCACTTATGAGCCCCCCAAATGGCCCTAATTAAAACCAAGAATCATTAAGAGTAGTGCTAGTGAGACTCCCAAATCAAGGAAAAGGAAAGCAATTATGCTTAGAAATGAAATGCAACCTAATGAAAGAGCCTCTAACTCCACCCTGAATGTAGGTGGAAGTTACTTTCAAAATGGCCCAAAACATATTTATGCTCTTACTATACCACTGTAACCTACTTTTGCTCAAATATTAAGATGTAAGATGAATAATAATCTCACTCTGTATTTATAATGTGTCAAAATACACTCTACTGTCATGTATATCTACAAAGAATAAAAATAATAATCTCACATTCAACCTTTTTTAAAATTAATTTTGTTTCAACACATGATCTTCCCTTAATATATGATAAGAAAGCAAATGGGCTTTGAAGTCAGAGAGGGCTGGGTTGGACGTCCATCTCTACCATTCACTAGTGTTTCCTGGTGCTAGTTGAACTTTTCTGAAATTCCATTTTCTTAACTTGCAATGGGAAGAACGCCTATTTCAAGGAGCTCATTTAAGAGTTAAATAGTATATATTAAATGCTGATTGCAAAATGAACTATTTAAAAAATGAATTCTGTTACATGCATGTATTAATCCCACTACTATAATGAGCCAATAAAAATATGAATTCATTTCCTATTTCTTCTCTTATTTGGATTCCATTAGCTTTGTCATTTGTCATTGCTAGCATAGAGCATATCTCTAGTGACTAAATGAATTTTGGAGTTGGACAACACATTGTAAGTACTATCTGCATGTTTATTTTTTTAAATTAAAAGAATTGGTGATAATAGTAAACACATGAACTGAGGAATCTGAAGAACTCAAATTTCTTCCTCTGGTTAACTGTGATCTTACATAGAGTTTGTCTTTGCATATAAGTGGCTGGCTTAAAATATAGCATGTGTTCATTAGAAAGACATGATCAGGCCATGAGACTCCAGCTTGCTGTGATGCAGTCAAGACAAAGAGTCCATTTAAAGTGAGCGACAAGTTGCTCAGCAGTAGCGCGTCTGTACTGGGCAAGCCCACCAAGGGTAAGACTTTAAATTCAATTACCCTGATGATTCACTAACAACATGCTGTCTAATAATACTAGCAATTGCTTAATGGTGGAATCTCCATGGTACATGAGTAAGAGGAAGTAAGCATAATAAAACCTAAGAAATACCCTGATTTCTCAGTCTAAAGCATCACCAGTTTACCAGGAATCCTGGTTTAAAACCTTGCAGCATCAATGTTTCTTTTTTTTTTTTAATTAAGGATACTTGAAATTGTTGGGGAACCAAAGAAGAATCTGACAGATTTTCTTTCTTCAAATGTCAAGTATTATTTATTTCTTGTATCTAGCAAGTCACTCAGCTCAAGTCTACCTTCCCTTGAAATGTTTCCTGCATCTATCCCATGCCATTTCCATGGTAACTATTGTATTTTCAATTCTCCTGACGTCATACTTCATATCAATCCTGCCTTACTTTAATGTACTTGAGAAACATTCTGTTGGCATGCCCATCATTGTGTCAAAATACAAGTAAAGTCAGGCATGGTAGTGCATGCCTGTAATCCCAGCAACTTGGGAAGCTGAGGCAGAAAGATGAAAAGTTTGAGACCAGCCTCAGCAACTTAGTGAGACCCTGTCTCAACATAAAAAATAAAAAGGGCTGGGAATGTGGCATAGTGCTTCAGTACCCCGAGTTCAATCCCCAGTACCCCCCCCAAAATAAATAAATAAATAAATAAAATAAACTAGAAAATCAGTACACATCAGAAGTGCTACATTAGGTAGTAACTAGATCACCTTACAACTAAAAAGTGAATCAAATGGATTTGGGTAAAAATATGCCTAGGAAAGCAAAGTACCTTCCCAAGGAATAGGTACACACACAGCAAAAGATCTAAACCCTGTCTGAAATAGATTATGACTCCTTGGCTCTCAATCAATGTTCATTAGAGTCGTAAAAGACCCTTAGAGATTTGGGGTTTTGGACATAGACTGCAAGCATCAAAGTAGCATCTGGGCATTTGTGATAATGACAGCTGGAATCCTAAAGAAGCTATGAAGTTGGGCTGGGGCTGTAGCTAAATAGTAGAGTGCTTGCCTAGCTGGGTTCGAGCCTCAGCACCACATAAACATAAAATAAAGATATTGTATCCAACTACAACTAAAAGTAAAATTGGAAAAAAAAAAAGAAGCAGGGCTGGGGTTGTGGCTCAGTGGCAGAGTGCTTGCCTAGCATGCATGAGACACTGGGTTCAATCCTCAGCACCATAAATAAATAAATAAATAAATAAATAAATAAATAAATAAATAAATAAAATTAAGATATTGTGTCCGTCTACAACTAAAAAAATGATAAAAATTAAGTGGTGAAGCTGCTGCGGATACAGAAGTGAAGAAGGGAAAATAGTGGGAAGGGCTCAGAGACCCAACCCTGCACAGGAATCTTGTTTGGAACAGTAAGAGGCAGCTGACCCTATGGGGAGAATCAAAAGCAGAGTCTGCTTATCTGGTAGCCTTCTTATATTATTTCCAAAGGCCTATCTCAGGACACTGCCTGTCCTCTTTAAAAATGCTGAAAATTCTACTGGTTCTCAAATTTACTGGTAATGACAACTATGATAAAACATTTTCATGAAAAATGACTAAATGATAGTGACTGCAGAATAAAGACTAATAGTTTTCTGTATTTTGCAACTTCTATGCAACAGATATCATGTTGCTTTTAGAATTTAGAACTTGAAAAACATGAAGCATAGAGAAATCAAAACCAATTACAGCCTCATGTGAATTGGATATTCCTCTGGTTCTGATAGTAAAACCAGCTGGAAGTATTACTGGGTTGTCAGTGACTTCCTCAAGTAATTTACTGCTCCCACTTTAATACACACTAACATTTTGGCAGAATGAAAACTTGGTTTACAGGAAATAATATATAATTTTAAGGGATACGAAAGAACAGGTATGGAATGGATTCAGCCATAGGTAGCTTTGTACACACAGAAAGCATGATGCTTGGGAATGGAGGAGGGATACAGAAAGGAAAGTATGCTGAGTATGAAAGTCCTTCAATTTTAAACTGCTTTGAGGAAAAGAGAGAGATCCTTTCCTCCTTGTCTCTCCTGCAACATAAAGGTCCCTTGCTAACAAATCAAGAACTGCATCTGGTACCACTGGTAAGAGAGTGCTCATGGGGGAATGTGGATCTCTCCCTGTCATTTCAAACTGTGCTCTGCAGATTGCTAGGGAGCCCCTTGGAGAATACCTGGGATTGCTGCTGAGAGGGAGAAAAGAAGGTATACAAGTTTTGTACTCCCTCACTCTCATTTTGAGAAAAGAAGTTCTGCTTTATTGGACTTCAATAGTACTTCTACTGAAGATTCCTTTTAAACAAAGTATAAAACCCACCCACTTGAACCAAAAAAGTGTACAGAATGAAACATATATAGAGAATGCTATTACATTACACAATTCAAATTGTCTTACTTTCAAACAATGCTTAAAACTATATGATGGGTATCTATCAGAGCCTTCTCCAGATTCAGTGCGCCTTTTGCAGAAAACAACAGCTTTCTCATACAAGAAGAGGTGTCGCTGCATTGGTTTGAATCTAGCAAAATCCTTCATTTTTGTAGCACCTTTCTTGTGCCCTATCCAGACACTGAATCCACCATGCATTATCATCTTGCCAAGCTCATTTAAGTTTCCCTAGAATAGAAAATCAAATCCCATTAGTAGAAGGCAAAGCTACATTCAAATCTCTGACATCAGCATTTAGTGTTTAGCTTGACCTACTAAAACGCTGAAGCATAATTTGTATGTTTTAAAAACTGCATTCATTATAACTTTTTAAATTAAAATGTGCCATGCATCACATCTGTATAAAATTACTGTAGGGGTGGAAGCCAAAAGAAATTTCCTTTTCCCTAGCTTCATATCAATTCCATGTGAGATGACAGGGTAACTCCCATAGATTCCTCAATCCGGTTAGGTACCTGACATACACCAGGTCCAAGTTTCCCCACTGGGTGGAGCTAATTTATTAAAAGGCTGCAAGCTCCAAAGATGTCCTCTTTTTATTAAAACCCTATCTTTCCTAGGCTAGGGCAAGCAGCACTCCTGGGACAATATGTCTCTTTTGGTGACCCAAACATTCCTTCAATCGAAATCTCCCTAGGTCTGGACTTGGGAACAGGCTGTTGAAGATAAGAACATTGCAAATCCACTTGATCTGTAATGATGCATAATGAGTAATGATGCTAATATTTTTATATCCATTTATCTACCTCTTCTATGTTCTTTTTCAGGTGATTTCAGAAGGGTAAGAAAGTTATGGTGACAAGCTTACCCCCTAAAAATTCATAGTCTTAAAAGTTTACTTACAATGTAGCCATTTATTGCAATCTGATGCATGGAGTCATTAACTGACTTCAGTAAATCCAGCATTGTGTCAAGGGCCTCCTTTAATTGAGTAGATCCTTCACAGTCCTTGCTATATTTTAATAGCTCCTGTAATTAGAAATCAGGAATTAAACTTAATATTAAGCACATATTAACATAGCTGCAGAAAATGAATAAAATTTTGGCTAACATGCTCTCAAGAAGGAATCAAAGATAATGACACTTTTGCATAATTTCTTTCATATGCTCTTTGTCACATTTATCTATTTAATCACAGTGTTAAAATTGGGAAAGAAGTAGAAGAGTGACTGAACTCTATGCAACAAAGGCATCCAATGCTTTTGGAGCTGAAAAACAATAGCTATTTAGTCACACTAGATATTATTTTTTGAAGCAATTATATATGTGGGTTTTTTCATTCTCTACATACAATAACTTGTTTTATCCATGATGCATTCATGATGCACACAGCATAGGACATTATGAAAATACATTTTAAAGCAAACTATGTTATATTCATACTTAGCTCAATATTTTAGTAATCTTTTCACATTACACTAGAAGAACAGCATTGGCATTGTTGATTGAGAAAGCAATATGAAGTACAGTTTCAAAGAAATGTTTATTTAGATCTTAATATCAAAAGTTCTTTAGTACAACACTGTACATAAATTAAGTACCTAGCACGGAGAATTAAATACTTAATCCTCCAGATGTTCTCAGCCTGTTATCTATGCCTGTCCTCTGCACTGCCATCGTGAAGGAGCACACTGCACTGTCTACTGCCAACTCCTGCCTACCCACTCAATACGCCTACCTATTTCTAGCACTTCCTAGTCAGCAACTTCCTTTTTAATGGCTTTTCCACATCTGACCCAAAAATGTGAGTAAAAAAGGAAAGAAATGTTTCATGTAATTACCTTTAAGAGTAACTGATATTTAGTGATTCGCTGTACTGGCTTGAGCAAATAGGAATCCAGACCAAGTCTGTGTTTTAATTTTCTCTGACATTCCTGCAATTAAAAGATAATTATCAATAAATTTAAACTAACACATGTACATGTAAAAATATCAAGTGTTCTTTGATGAGACTCAATGCATGAATGTTGCTTATATCTCAAAGAACATTTATCAGAAAAATTAGTATTACATATGGTACAGAAATTTTAAGTCATTATAACTGAGAAACAATAAACAGTATTTCAAGGACTTGGGAGGTAGAAAATTCTAACATTTTGAAGACTAAAAACATTTGACATGTAAATTCTTATTGATGTGTAATGTTTAAGGTGAGAAAGCAAGGAATGACAATAGATTAGCATGATTAAAAAGTTCTTCAATATATCCAAGAAAATTAACAAAAGACTCAGCTCCATAGGCCAAGGCCCAGAAAAGAAATAGGTTGTGCTAAATATAAATCAGACTGGGCATGAGAACAGATTTTTTTAAGATCACAAGAAAAATACAGTCTTTATCAACTGGTGCTATATTTCATTCAGTAATTGGCTCACTGCCACTATAAATATAAGGGTCATGACATTGGGTCCTGGGAATAGTGGAAGGCCCATAATTAGGGCAAGATGGGGATGGTGAGGAATAAATATACATATAGGAAATTCAGAACACAAAATGAACTAAATAAGATCCAGGATCCTCCACTGGAAATGGATAAAATATAATATTCAATCTAATTCAAAGAATAATTATTAATAATTTATGGTTAAAGATAGTGGGCTGGTGCATGCATTTGCAGCTCCTCGTTCCTGAAAGCTAAGTAAAATGATGGAAAAGATATTTTTCAGAAGGCAAAAACCCAAAGATGAGAAACTAGAAAGTATTGTTAAATTTGGAAAATGAAAACCACACCAACAAGTGGTAAACAATTGAGCATGCTTGAGAAAAACAAATCTCAAGTTGGCAGAGGAAAAAGCTGAGGAAAGGATCAATCTGTTATAGACCATTCCCCCCGCACCACCCACCACAAACACACACATACCCCCATTACAAAAACTCAAGATTATAGACATGAAGTAACTCTGAAGACACAAAATAAATCTGGGGTTCAAAAAGAATGGTTGCTCAAAGCCCATTTAAGAAATAATTAGATATTGAGTGTGGTAAGGATGTGGAACAATCAGTACCCTCATATATATTGTTGGTAGAAATGTGAAACAGTGTAGCCAGTTTGGAAAATAGTCCAATATATCCTTTAAAAGGCTGACAGAGAGTCACAGTATTATCCAGAAATTTTACTTACATGTATACAGCCAATAGAAATTAAAAAATAAACCACATATTTACACAAAAACTAGTAGAAAAGTTTTCCTAGCAGCATCATTCATACTAATCAAAAGGTGGAAACACCCCAAATGTCCCACAACTGATGACTGGGTAAATGATATGTAATATAATCACTCAATGAAATATTATTCTGACATAAAGAAGGAATGAAGAACTGATAAATGGTACATGGATGACACTTGCTAACAAGCTAAATGAAAGAAGCTAAACACAAAGATCATATATTATGGGATTCCATTTACATAAAATGCCCAGAACAGGCAAATCCATGAGGGACAGAAAGCAGAATAGGGGTTGCCTAGGGCTGTAGGGATTGGGAGAAATAGGAGGTGACTTGCTAGAAGGTACAAGGTGTTTTCTTTATAAAAGTAAAAATGTTCCTAAATTGACTGCGACCATGATTGTACAATCTTGTAAATATAGTAAAACCACTGAACTATATATATTTAAACGGTGAATTTTATAGTATTTTCTTTATATTTCAATAAACTGTTCCCCCCAAAATTTAAATGGGCACAAAAAGCTAAAAATAAACATGAAAATCAAAATCTCTCAGATAAACATACTATTATGCTCAAGTAGGTAGCTGCCCTTCGCTCCTGATGAAAGAATAACAGATATTAGATATTAGATTATAAAGAGTAAAACAGAGGGCCCCTGGACTAAGGGATACAAGGATGCAATCTGAGGGCACAATGCCATATTGAAGGCAAGGAGAGTGCCTGAATATCTATTTACCAAATTAGGGACTCGTAGTGTTTGCCCCAAATATGGCATCCACAACATTGTCAGGCAGACCCTTATACATTGGGTAGCAGGTTGGGAACTCTAAACAGCTGACAAGCAAAGGAACTAAACATATAGGTATTGAGGAATCCCCCTAAGGAAACTACTTCAGACAAATCACACAACCAAGAGGATCATGGTCAATAAATCCACAAATGCATAGGAACTTTCCAAGGAGTTTTTTAAAGCTCACTCCTAAGATAAGTGAACAGACAACTACCATCAGACTTTTGAGGAAAACCATCTAAGATGAGTGGCAGGAACTAAATGAAAAAAGAAGAAAAAAAATAGAAGCAATTTGAAGATAACGGGATCTATGCCATGAGAAGAAAACTACTTTGTAAAGTAAAATCATATGGCACAAACCAGTAATCCTAGTGATTCAGGAGGCTGAGGCAGAAGGATCAGAAGTTTGAGTTCAAGATGCCTGAGCAACTTAGTGAGACCCTGTCTCAAATTAAAAAATAAAAAGGGCTGGTGATAAGGCTGGGGCTGGGGCTCAGTGATAGAGCACTCGCCTAGTATGTGTGAGGCCCTGGCTTAGATCCTCAGTACCACATAAAAAAAATGAATAAATAAAATAAGGTATCATATCCAACTACAACTAAAAAATATTTTTAAAGGACTGGTGATGTAACTCAGTGGTATAGCACCCCTGGGTTTGATCCCTAGTTAAGAAAAAAAAAAGAAGTAAAAATCTATTATCTTCATATCAATAAGCAAACATTGAATTTATGAAACAAAAACAGGATTGTATTAAGAGGAACCAAGAGAACAAAAAGTTATTCTTTTCAAAATTAAGGACATAATGGCAGAAATAAAATCCTCAATAGTAAGAGTGAAAGATATATCCCAGAAAGTATAACAAGAATACAAAGAGGTAGAGAACAGAAAGAAAAGATATTAGATGATCAGTCCACAATATGTACCATCTGTACAATAGAAATTCCAGAAATTGGAGAATGGGAAAAACTGGATGGAGGAAATCAAATAGAAAAAAATTAGTAAATTTGGACTGGCAGCTCAAAATTCAATGTCATCAGCACAAGACTAGCATAATGAATGAAAATGGCACCAACACCCAAAATAAGTTTTCATAAGCTCCCAAAGGACAAAAATTGGATCTCCTGCAATGGAACAAAAATCTGATGCTAGCTGGGTGCAGTGGAACATGCTTGTAATCCCAGCAGCTAAGAAGGCTGAGGCAGGAGGATTACAAGTTCAAAGCCAGCCTTGGCAATGGCGACGCACTAAGCAATTGAGTGAGACCCTGTCTCTAAATAAAATACAAAATTGGGGCTGGGGATGTGGCTCAAGCGGTAGCACACTCGCCTGGCATGCGTGCAGCCTGGGTTCGATCCTCAGCACCACATAAAAACAAAGATGTTGTGTCTTCCAAAAAATAAAAAAATAAATATTAAAAAACTCTCTCTCTCTCTCTCAAAAATAAAATAAAATAAAATACAAAATAGGACTGAAGATGTGGCTCAGTGGTGGAGTGCCCCTGGGTTCAATCCCTGGTACACCCCCCCCAAAAAAAATGATGCAATTTAGCAACTCCTTTAAATTCCTGAGGATTATCATTTCTTACCTAGAACTTTATACCCAGTCATGTTAGCAATCAAAGTGTTATGGAAGAAAAAAAAAAGATATTTGCAGACACACATGTTCTTAAAAACATTTACCTATATTGCACATTTTCTCAACACATTACTGGAAGATATTTTCTACCAAACAAGGAAATACAACAAGAATGATAAGATTGTGGCACCTAGGAAACAAGAGAACCTATTCAAGAGACAAGTGAACGGTGTCTCAAAAATGATATTCACCAAGATCCTGAGATGAAAACTATGCATCAGGCCTAGTGAGTCAAGATTAGCTGGCCAGAAACCCCTAGGAGATACTTCTTCAAGAAGATACAATTTAAAGAAAATCAATGTATATAAATATTGCAAGAGTATATTTTTATAACTCCTAAAACTGGAAGAAGTGTCAGTAGAATTAAGACAAGTATCTAGAAAGTTGTGTGAGTAAAAAAACAACTGTAAGAAAAACAAAAGGGGAGGAAAAGCAATCATACTATATCAAATGGATTATTTAAGCAGAGAAATAATAGTCTCAACAATTAAATGCAGTACATAAATCTAACCAAAATTACAATATAACTATATTGGAAATTTTGGAAGAAAGAACTATACGTGTATATGATCAAGTGGCAGTGAAAGAGCTAAATCCTCTTTTTACAGGGTAGGAAGGAGGAGGATGAGCATGCTATTTGGATATATAGAGGTAAATATCAAAAGAAGTAGTTAAAAGCACCGGAAGTGGTTGCTTCTAGGGAACAGAAAGTGTGTGTGTGTGTGTGTGTGTGTGTGTTTTGGAGACAGGAGAATTGCTCTTTAACTTACATGCATATATAAGTTACTCAAAGTAGAAATGAACTTATAAATAAGAAGTATCCCACTATCTCCCAGAAAAAACATATCCAATACTTAATTATCATACCTGGAAAAAGGCACATTCTGAATACTTCTTCCAAATTATCTCTGATCTGGGCTTATTCTGACAGTATTTTGCATATATCTGAAAATCATCCTTCTGTGATGAGAACAAATTCAAACATATTAACAATTTGCAAATATGAACTTTTCTTACCAAGAAAAGCAGAATAAGAGTGAGTATGGCAAAGCATTATAGGGACTATGACCTAAAGGAGCCCTCTTCATATTCAAAGATCAGCATATGTGTTGGACCTGATGGTGGGACTCGTGATTTTCTGAACTTCCACTTGCCAAGTTTGAGAGTTAAGGGGCGGGGGAAAGGCTCCTCTGTCTGAATAAAAAATCTTTTCATAGCCAAGTAATGTGCTCTTTCTATGCTACTAGTTTCTCAGTTCCCTAGTGAATGAATTTGGAGCTAACCTTCAAGTCAGCCTGCAGTCCTTGGTTCATCACTGGGGCATCACCACTGTAGCATAACCCATCTAGGTATCTGCCTATGCAATTTTCTCTCCATAATACTCATTTATGCTATATCCTACTCATTCTTTACCATTCATCTCACGAGTCATCTCTTCTATAAAGCCATTTGCTTATACCCCACAGATGCATAAGATGCCTGTTATGGTTTAGATCTGGAATGACCCCCAAAGGCTCATGTGTTGAAGGCTTATTCCCCAATGCAGCAATGTTCAGAGGTGGGGCATTTGGGGAAGTAAATGGATTATTGGGGATCTGACCTCATCAGTAGATTAATCCATTGATGGTAATAATTTGATATTAGTGGGAAATGGTGGAAACATTAGGAGGTGGGATCTAGCAGAAGGAAGTAGGTCACTGGGTGTGTGCCCTGGAAATGTATTGCTATCATGTCCCTCAAAACCTTCCCACCACACCTTTCTGCCATGATGTTCTACTTGCCTCAGGTCCAAGGCAATGGAGCCAGGTGATCATGAACTGAAACTGCTGAAGCCATGAGCAAAATTAATCTTTCCCTCTCTAAATTGTTGTTCTCAGGCATTTTGTTCCAGCAATGAAAAGCTAACACGATGTTCCTTATTTGGATTCCCACAGGACCCTTTGTATATCTCTAATATAGGACAACGGGTGCTATATGAAATTAATGGTTTCCATGTTTTTCTACCTGAATAAATAGTCTTTGGCTGGGTATCCACATCACCTAGCACAGCACTTGGAACAAAGAAGATGTTCAGTAGATGGTTGTTTAATGAATAAACATTACCATCAATAATCATTTATTAAACCATTACTAGCTGCCAAGAACTCTACTAACCTCATGAGAGATACATATATAGGATATGGACCCTGTCTCAAAGATTTTCTCATCAAGTTGGTGAGAGAATTTGTGTACACATGTAAAGATACATAGTAAATGTAAAATTTCCAGTCAGTAGTGGTCTTATGTAGTAATCCAAAGGGAAGATTCACCACTGTTGGGAAAGAAACTGTCCATAGTTCAAATAAGTTTCAAGTTAGAACACGTTGAGAAAGACATTGATATGCAGTTCTTTCTTAGCCTTATTCTCTTCTCATTTTATAAACACTTTCTGGGACAAATACTCATTTTGAGTTTCAACAATTCTATCTATCAAAAATGACTCCCAAACCAAAGCAGAACTGATCTTTCAGGAAGAGGAGGAACTAGAAAAGCAAAACAGGCTAAGCAAAAATCTATTTCTGAGGGAAAACTCTAATGGAGGAGAACACAATCACTAACCTAGAAAGTCAATTTTACTGAGTGTACTCTTGGGACATGGAATAATGAGCCTCCCTGAATGACTTAGTTAAATTAAAAGAAAAGACAACTTTCTGTTTTGTGAAGTTCCTGTGATAAATGCCTTGCTGGCTGAATGCCAGACTAGATCTAATTATAAGATTTTTACATGAATTGCAGGGGAATACCAAGGTATCTTTTAGGTTAAAAATAACCAAGCCCAGGGTGGTTTTGCTAAGAGGATCCCAACTCTCACATTTTAACACCCAGAATGATCCCTGAATCCCTAGGATCACCATTCCTAGGAGTTGAGACACTGAAGTATTTGCTACTATAGAATATGCAACACATGCTCTGGATACCCCATTACATCAGTTTCTACAACAAAACTTGGTTTTGCATTAAGTACTTATTGGAGTTGATGTCACTTCTCCAAAAACAAAGATGTTTTAAAAACCTATTTTGACTCTGAATATACTCTCATAAGTGAGTTTTTATTTTGGTGTCCCGTATTTATATAACTTAAAAAAAAAAATTAGACTAACCCTTTCCAGGAAGCAAGGTCCCACTCTTTCTGGAGCATCAGAGCAATTTTCCAGGCTGCTCATGAAAATGCTGTGAAATTTTCAGAGAAAAAATGTGAAAAATAATAAACTGGTCAATGGCCCTTTCAAAAACATCATGAAAAAATACTCAATTTGACAATTACATACTTGTTATGGAATTCATATATTTCTGCCATATTTCCAAAGAGAACATCTTTTTTATTTCTCAGGACAGGTGGCATAAGATCAAACATCTCTGGATTATCCATCTCCGCTCGATAGCCCTATTCAAAATAAATATATTTAGGCTTCTTTATAATATTTACATTAATAGTTGATTGGGCAACTAAAGGTCTAAGTACAGTACAATATATAGGGATTTGTGGGTAAAGCTGTTTGAATGTTAACTTTGGGATCTAGGATATTTAAATGTTATCCATAACATTTTTCTTTAGAAAGCAACATAGGGAAGTTAAGGATTTCCACTGGATGGGCAGAATAAAATGACAGTCTTTGGCCTTTCAAGATAGCTGCATTGTTGATAACAAAATAGAAATCAAGTATGAAAAAGTATAGTACAGGTAATCAACTTCTTAAATTGGCAATAAGTGTTTAGATTTTTTTATGACCAAATAAATACTGTGACATTTATGTCAAATGAGTATTTTTATCCTATTCTCAGTTCTTTTTACCACAATCTCTAAATAGCACCTTGGGATTAATTACAACAATCCACTATATCCCTAAGAGAATAGCATTTCTCTTCTGTAATAAATTCTGAATCAACCATTCCCAGTACTGAGAGAGAATATAAATATACACATTTAAACATGCAGCCTCAAACAATGGGTACCATATCCACTACTACCATGTGACAATTGAGGAAGGAGTCAGAACTCGAAAATTGCCTTAAACACTTTCTAATGAATGTATCAAGGGACCATTCAGGAAAATGGGAGTCACTTACCAACAGCACAGTAAACAGCTCTCGAACATACACTCTCTCAGTCTGTATCAGCTCATTTAGGACGTGGCTAAAATGAAAAGACCATATTTACCAGTTATTATATTATTTAGAATTGTATAACATTGTTTCAGTTATTATAAGTCTTTGAAGGAAAAAATACTTAAGTCATTGGAACTACCAGTGGTTTGGGTTTTAGCATCAAAATAACTGAAAGTACCACCCACAGGGCTGTTTAAAATATATTCAAAAGAAACAGGGGTACTCAAGGGTTATTAATGACTTACAAAATTATTTCTAATTCACTAAGATTAAGAATCAATTTACTAAAAAACTCACAAAATCTATTCCTAAATGTCTGATGTTTATGTATTTATTTTTGGGCGGCATACTTTTCTGAGTTCTTAGTACCCTTTCTCAAATAAATAAATAAAAGATAGTAGCATTCTTAGCATCATTTTCCCCTGTTCCAGGTAATATTCTGAATTTTTCTAAGACACACAATAGATGTATTATACTGGTCTTCCCAAGTGTAAATCATACTTAAGTTTCTGTAGTAATTTTGTCTACTGTCTCTGTAAAATAAAATACATTTCAACATCAATTGACTTTATATTTAATTTTCCTCTTACCAATATAAGAAAGTAAAAAAGAACCAAAGGGTAGTTAAATTAAATGGATTACTTATATTAATCCATTTAATTTAACTACGCTTTGGTTCTTTTTTACTTTCTTTTCGTCTTCTAACATCTTAAAGCATGTAGCATTTAAAAGTCCATATTCAACTTGCTGCAAAATACTGGCTACTTATCATTCTGTGACATAAAATTTAAAAGGCAAATATGCAAGTCTAGAATAGTAATACAATATTGTAAAAGTTAGCCAAACAATGATTAATGTTAGTGTCTTTAAAACAGTATCTATACAATCCTTTTTCATTTCATTCATTTTCACCTTTTTTAAAAAAGAAGAAATGATGTTGACCAAAGGATTTAAACTTTCACTTATAAGTTGAATCAGCTCTAGGGATTGAACATCCACATGCTGACTCTAATTTTTATACTGTATCATATACTGAAAATTTGCTTAGAAAGTAGATCTTAGCCGTTACACAGCAGATATAGTGAACACTATTGAACTGCACACCCAAAATGGCTTTTAAAAACTTAAAGCAGATATTTTAAGAATGTTCAGTTTATAATGTCAGTTAACCTCAATAAGACATGGATATATGTGACTTTAAGAAGCAATAAAGTGGCACATGCCTGTAATCCCAGTGATACCAGCAACTTGGGAGGCTGAGACACAGGATCATATGTTTGAGGCTAGTCTAAGCAACTTTAGTGAGATGCCGTCTCAAAATAAAAAAATAAAAACTGGGGATGTAGCTCAGTGGCAAAGCATCCCTGGGTTCAGTCCCAGGTACTAAAAAAAAGTGATAAAGTATACAAACTCCTAAATCAAACTTCTTGGCCTCAAACCCTAGATCTGCCATCTACTAGTGGGCATGTTATCTAACTGTTCCTCAATGTTCTTCACCTAGCTTTTTATAAGTCCCACTTGGTTGGGGTAATATTTATAAAGCAAGGACATTGTACTAAATAAATGTAATGATCTATCAAAAAAAATGAAAGTAGATCTTAGATACTTAGTAGCCTCACCACCAAAAGAAGCAAATTTATTAGGTGACAGATGTGTTAACTAACTCAAGTATGATAATCACTTCATAAAGTATACTTGTATCAAAGTCTCAAAGTATCACATTATATTCCTTAAATATATACAATGATAGTTGTCAATTATACCTCACTAAAGCTGAAAAAACAAATTAAAAAGCAAAACGTTTCATTTTTATTTCCCACCTGGGAAAAAAAAGGAGAAATGAAAAATCTGAAAAATTCTAAATAATTTTCCTCAAGTAACAAACAGACTATAGGTTGGTAAAGCCTAAATTCAAGACTCACACCTCAACTAGCACTCTTTATCACACCCAAGAAGAACCCAATTCTGTGAACACAAAAAAAAAAAAAAATTATTTTGAGACAGGGTCTTGCTAAGTTTCTCAGGGCCTCACTAAGTTGCTGAGGCTGGCCTTGAACTTGCCATCCTCCTGCCTCAGCATCCAAAGTCACTAGGATTACAGTAGGCATGACGTGCTGGAAATGTGCTCAAAATTCTAAGCATATTGGCTTTTCAACACTGAACCAAAGAGTCCTCCGGGGGTGATGTGTATATGAGTTTATGTAAATAAATAAAAGATACTTCTTTAAAACATCCAAGCTATTGTCATTGTCCAAACTGGAGGGTTGAGCAGAACTTCTCTTCTCCTGACAATCATGGACTACTTCAATCTGAAATTATGAAAACAAAAAGTTATATTAGCATGTATGTGTATAGTTCTTCAAGGACACATAGCTCAAATTAAGTTTACTTCAGGTCCTAACTGTACATAAACTGAAAAATAACAGATTTTTTTAAAAGTAGTTTTGATATATATTAGTAAAATGAAAGATTTGAGTTACTTGGAAAGATAATATTTAAGATACTAATTTATTTTGTATATTTTTCATTTATCTGGCACTTTGGGGAAAGAAAGTCAATTCATAAAAGTTTATTTTCCAGATAATTAAAATTTATTCATTGAAAAACCAAAATGGCTTTTTAGTCTTAGTTTTTTACAGAAAAGCTCCTAGCAAATATTACATGCATCCTTAAGTTTTTTAATCAAAGACAAACAACATAAATGATCCTTTTCTTAATAACTCAGTGGTATCATCAAAAACTTAAATGTGATAAAATCTAATGATGCATTTCCAGGGCTACTGAGACAGAGAACTATCCTTTTTCAAAATGGCTGTACCCGTACATCTCTGTGTCTCCTGTCTGTCACATGTTAGTTGTTCCTACAAATGGCTTCCCTGATCCTAAACTGTTGCCTTTTTTTGCAGACTCTACAGAACTTGGACTGGTCTACTGAGTCAACTACATGAAATTTGTGATGGTTAATTGCTCTTCAGAAACATTTAAAATATATTCCTGGGATCCCACCTATATCAGACATTTGAGCTTGCCAAAAACCTGACCTCTAAGTAAATTCAACATTATTTTGTGACAGCTAAAACCTAAAATGAAGTACTGGATTTATCAATTAAATATTTCAAAAAAAATGTGGCCTATGCATGGCAATACTTGTGAACAAGAACATTTGTAACAAATTTCTACATATTATGCAGACACAATCCTAAGAGCTTGACATACATCATTGTAATCAATCCTCAGCAATTTAGAAAGCTAAGGCATTCTTTTTTCCATTTTAAAGATGGGAAAAAAATGAGACTCATAGAGGTTTAGTAACATGATCAAAGTCACATGCTTAAGGGCTGGGGCTTTAGCTTAGTGGCAGAGGACTTGCCTAGCATGTGTGAGGCACTGGGTTTGATCCTCAGCAGCAAATAAAAACAAAATAAAGGCATTCTGTCCATCTATAACTACAAAAAAAATTAAAAAGAGTAATTATAAGACTAATTTTTTAAAAAGTCTCATATTTAATAGGTGATGAGACAGTCAAGCCCAAGTGTCAAAGTCTGTGGGTTATCACTTTTATCATATTCCCTCCTGCGAATATGCTTTGTTACACCTGGCAAATGTACCAACTATTATCATCATTTTAATATTATACTTAACACTAAAAATACTGCATACTACCTTTATCAGGTAGGTATGTTCCATTTACTCCTATCAGATTTCTGAAATACATATGTGGAAATATTTGAAATATAACATTTTCAAAACCTAAGGATTCCTAAAATTTACTTGAATCAAAAGAATGCAATTTGGAACTGTGTTTAGCTGGATGCCCCACCAAGAAAATTCACAGAGCCACCATCTCATGATTTTTCCCTGGGGATATGGAACTGAATAAATCTAAGAAGAGGTGTCATGAGTTGACACTAGAATGGAAAGACATGGAAATATCTCCAAGAGGCTGGAACGACATGGAAGACTACAGAATTTGGCATTCACTTCATTTCCTTCTTGAAACTAGTAAGTTGTGGTCGTACAACATGCTGACCAGGCCTTGTATACATCAATATAGGCCATTCACTAGCTTCACGATATTAAAATAAGAACTTAGAATATTACCATATTACCATTGTTCAAGTGCTTCATAAATATTATTTTATCTTTACACTAACTTCATGTCATATATTACTATCCCTATTTTATAAATAAGGTGTCTGAGATCCACAGAATTTACCTAAAGTTATACCACTAGTAAGTGATGGAAGTGAAATTAAGAGCAATCTAGTTCTACAATTTGTACCCCTATGCCTTACAATATAGCCTCTTGGAGATATGTCCTTGTCTTATTTACCATCAAGAACACACAAATAAAATGTAGGCTCTTGTAGCTATCATGAGACTATTCTCTGCAGATCCCAGCCTATCATGGAGAACTGAGAAGGGAGGACTATTGTACATATGATTTTTTTCCCAATACATATGTGCCTATGATAAAATATAACTTATAAATTAGGCACAGTTAAGAGATTAACAATAACCTAATAAAATGGAACAATTTTAACTATATATTGTATTATGTGCACTCCTCTGTCCCCACCCTGAATCTCCCTTTTTCTATCTTTCCCTCTCCCTCTTAATATTTTTGGAGCACAATTAACCACGGATAACTGAAACTGTGAAAGTGAAACTGAGGATAAGAGGTGGAGGAATTCTATATATATGAAGAAATTAATGGATTTCTTTCTGAACCACAGTTAGCCTCTGCATGGTTCATTAGAACTTGGCCCCTGTCCTCCCTTCATACTTGAGGGATTGGAATCCTTCATGAAAGGAAGTTCCTTCTGTAGAAAGGTATGATGTTATTTAGGTTTATGGAGGTGCAGTGTAGAGAAGCTGGAACTTAATATTCTACAGAAGTGATTTTGAACATGAGCTAGGACTTGCGAAATTGTTCATACATCTGTGACTATATCAGTACTGCAATTAGACACAATGCAGCAGCAGCTTTTATCGTTAAGATAAAATCAGCTTTGAGATGCACAACATTGGTCCAGTGAGTGAAAAATATGGCTTAAGCCCCATACCAATTCTGCAACTACAGAAATAAAATGAGTTTTGAATTAATTGATGATATTTACCTTTAAGTTGCTCTGATTTTGTCTCCAAGTCTTCTTCCCTGGTACAAAAATATGAAAGAAGAATTTCAAATCAGAATTAAAGTCAACACTTTTAATGAAAACACATGTGAATTTATTAAATAATTAGAGTTCATAGTCCAACATGTTTGTATTAGTATTTTTAAATCACACTATAGGAGACAGTTATTGGTTAGACATAACATACCATTTCAACTTCTTATTGGGCATGATTTTGCTAAGTACTCACCCATTTCCTCAAACATTCTCTTACTTGCTAAGCACAAAGCTAGGTATTAATGCTCATAATTATTTGTAGATTTGTAAATATTTTCAGGTTTCATGGTCATTCTAACATGTAAACATTTAATCAGATTGTAAATCATATGTGGATCAAAAATTCTCTTAAAAATTCTAATTTATCCTAGAAATTAGAGAATCTAACATTTATTTGACACTTACTGCGCACCAGGTACTGATGTAAGCCCTATGGACACATTCTCTTTTATAATCCTCATATCCTCCCTGGGAGGTAGGTAAGGACTCCTATACTCATTTCATAGATAAGGACTAAGGTCAGTATATTGTTCAAGAAGCAGAGGTAGTTGTTTAAATCCATATAGTCTACAATTAGAGTACATGTTTCTAACCACTATCTAAACTAACATTTCAAAAATATGTTAAAATTCCCCAAATAAAGAAACCCTTCATCAAAATTCAAAACTTTATTATTTTTTAGGTCTCACTTATGGCTTCTTTTATTTATCTCTGGAACATTTTCTGACAGTGATGGAAGAATTATTCTTGACTATGTACATAAAAATAAATTTAAAGATCAAGAAATTATGAATTGAGCATGGTTTTTGAAGCACAACTTTTCATTTCTCTGTTTGTACACAATGTAGTGTCACACCACATGTGTATTCATACATGTACCTAGGATAATGATGTCCATCTCATTCCACCATCTTTTCAACATTTTAATTTTTATTTTTAAATAATTTATGATATTTATAAAGGGCGAGTCCCTGTATTATTGAGCAATAAGTTAGACGTTCCTAAAAAGCCAAGGGCATGGTCCAAAGAGTAGATTAAGTTATCAGGGCTGCCAAAAGGCTGTCCCCCATACAAGTTACATGGACTCCCGTCTCAGCAAGAAGAAACACTGTTTATCCTTCAATTCTCAGTGGCAGCCAGGCACACTCAGGAAAAGGATGTAATGTTGTACACTCTAGGTTTTGTATACTTCACTTTCGTTTATTAAAATATAAATCTATTGTGCATATGATTTTTATGCATGATTATTATATAATCACATATAAATATATAGCAAATTTGGTGGGAATTACCATGTAAAATCAGTTTCTCAAAAAAAACCCACTTTGTGCCCCACTTTAAAGAAACCTGATATACAGAGGTTCAAACTTATTTCTAAAGTTAACTTAGGAAATAATCATTGGTTTTACTAATCAATTTTTTGTAAATATATTAAGAGAGGCAAAAGGAATATATACACAACTAACTATAAAAATATCTTTTGTGAAAATATATTCATTCTTTCAGCAATATAAATATATACAAAATGATGGAGTGCCATATGATACACTAAGCTCTTTGGGGATGCACAAAGATGAAGTGTACCCAGTCCATGCTCTTAAAGAGCTTATAGTCTAGCAAGTGAGTCAGAAAACAAGCAATTATACTAAAGCTGAAGAAATACATACTAAAGCTGAAGAGAACTGGGAGGCCTGTTATCACGGCATGAACACCTAACTCAGGGGAGGAAAGAGATAGGAAGAAAAAGCTTACCTGAAGGAAGTGGCCTAGAAATATAAAATCTGAGGGAGAATTAGGAGCTACCAAGGGAAAGGGAGGCAAGAGTGTATGTGTGAGTAAGACATGGAAGAAAAGGAAGGAAAAGCAGGCAGGGGGAGTGTGGAGACAGGGAGACTGTTGCAGTTGTCAAGCCATGGATGTTAGCTTGGACTAGGAAAGTGGCAGTAAGGAAAGCAATAGGGATGGAAAAGTAGATGGGTAAGAGAGGTACTTAGGGAGTAAATATCCACAGGATGTAGGAGTTTTTGATCTATTAGAGGTGGGGCAGGAGTAAGAAACAAGAACTGAGGTCCTAAGCTTGGGCAACTAGGGAAATCATAGTGCCATTTGCAGAAGAAGAAAAGGTCTGCAGGAGAAAGGCATTCATTTGGAGTGTACTGAGTTTAAGTTTCCTATGAGAAATCCAAGGAAGCAAATTGTAAGCATAAGTCTAAAGCTTATAACAAAGATCTAGACTACAGATACTGACTTAGAAGCTCAAACCGCATTTAATGCTTTATCCCTCACTGAAAATGTCCTTCCAAGATTCCTCTCTGTCCTTGTTGATAATTCAACAAATATTTTTTATATCCTGCTAGTTGCCAGTCACTGTGCTAAGTACACAATTCAATACAAAGAAAAAAATGAACAAAAACAAAGAACAACAAAAAAAACAGTTTGACTCATTTTTATGAAAAATAAACAAATTTTGATTTGGTTCAATCTTGTATAATTGTCTTTGCAAAACTCCTAAAGAACAGCCTGGAATAGATTGTTATAATCCCCATTTACTCACAGAGCAATGTAGTAAAAGGAACAAAGTTTGCAGCATAAATAATGCTTTGATTTCATTTTCAAACCATGGTCAATAATGGATAAAATCATTTATGTGTCCATGCCATTTATTCATTAAGCTGCCTTCTTTCTCATAAATACATTAGGCAGTCTTAACTAAAGCAAACCCAAGCTACTTCCAACAAATGGCTGGGTTGTGGAAGGCATGAGAGTCTTTCAAAAGAATGAAAGCCAGATTCGCTTTAACACTACCATTTTTTTTTTCTATTTCGAATGGTCATTTTATTACAGATTCTGAGTTTAGGAGCATAAGTTATTTTTTACATGTTCATTTTCAAGGGTAAGTTTAATACTGAGAATAATGGGTAGTCATTATGGAAAAAAATGGAAAGAAAAAAGTTCCTTGTGGGCAGAACTCAAGAATGAATTGCTGCTGAATTTAGATGCCAAACTGGTTTTTCACATGTACACAAACTCAGAAAATGTACTGATAAGTAATATAATAAAAATGGGTACCTTTTGAAAAAAGCTTACATGCTTGAAAGAAAGAGTATCCAATTCCCACTGCAGAAGGAAAGTATAATTAAATAAGAATATGAGAAAGAAAAATGAAACGATACAAAACAAAATTCTCTTTGAATGATTAATGACGCCAGTGGGTCCTGAACAATCTATTCACAACCCTGATTTTCAACCTAAGATGCACCACTTCAGAGGACAATTAAGCAAGAAGTCTTAACTAGAGGGAAAGGACAGTTTATTAAATGTCCCTTGGATATTTAACTGAGTACTCTTATAGTCTACAATGTTTTTCACTTTGTCTTCACAATAACCCTTTGAAGTCAGGAGGTTATCATGGTCCTTATTTTACAGACCAAGAAATTAAAGCTAAAAAAGGTTAAGTGAACTGCCCAAGGTCACACAGCCAATGGAGCCAGAAATACCTAACAGTATATCTTTTGCTTAGGAATATCAACCTGTTCTCATAGGTAGTCTCACAGCTCTTGGATTTTATCCACTCCCCCCCCCAACTTTTATTTTTTTTAAATTAATGTTTTTTAATTTATATATAACAGTGGAATGCATTATAACTCTTATTACATATAAAGAGGTCAATTTTTCATATCTCTGGTTGTATACATAGTATATTCACACCAATTTGTGCCTTCATACCTGTACTTTGGATAATAATGACCATCACATTCCACCATTATTAACAACCCCCTGCCCCCTCCCTTCCCCTCCCAACCCTCTGCCCTATCTAGAGTTCATCTATTTTTCCCATGCTCCCCCTCCCTACCCCACTATGACCATTCCCCTTTTTTTGGTTGATTTTTTAAAAACTTTTTCCCCCAGTATGTTTGATATTTCTAGCATCTTCAATATAGGCAGCATTATTCATTTCAGGCATTGCTCACAGCTTTATTTTTAATATTTGTATATTTCATAACTATAACTATTTAACTTTCATTGTCTTATCTTAGTTTACTTGCTTCCACCACCTTTTTTTAATCTGATCCACTTCTGTATTTTTATGTTCATTATCTCTGGCTCAAGCCTTCTCTGAATTTCAAAGCAGTTTCCCTACACTAGTGAAGTCTCTGATTCTACCTACATGAGAGAGAACAATTTTAGTCCAAGTTCACCCATTTCACCAATTTAATGCCTCAAACACCAAAAAACTTTCCCGGAAGAGGCCCTACAGGCAGCTCAAGGAAGTCCTTGGGGTAGTAGTTTTCATAGTAGTTCAAAACCATTATAAGGATAATTTTTTCTCCCACAGAACTCAGAAAGGAAGTGGATGTTACACAGTTAAATAGACTACAAAGATTAAAACTTGAAAGTGGACTCTAACAGGAAATCACCAATAAAATTACTGTTTACCATTACCTATTTAGAAAAGAAAAACCATCCTATTATCTAAGCCATTCACATATCAGAAGCATATAAGAACCAAGTAATAGTTGGACATAATAGTTTAACATAGTAAAATTACTTATTCAATAAGTAATATGAACACATATGTATATTAGTTTCATATACCTTCTACCACCTACTGAAGAAAAGTGTCAGCTTGATGCCAATACCTTTTCACACTCATTTTTAAGGGTAGAAATAATCACTCCTGAGATGTCCATCATCCTGCACTATTCTGTTACTACATTTTATGATTATACAATAGTCTCAATGTGACTCCTGCCTTTCGCAGTATCACTTAAATATGGCCAAAGATGCTAAAATAAAATTTTAATATATCAGGCCTGAAAAAAGAATTCAGCATCAAGAGTAACAAAGTAAATAATAGTAAGAAAAGCAGAGATAGATAAGTTAAATACAAGAGATTTTTACCATGTTTAGTTGGAAAAAATGGTGCTCTAGCTCTGATCAAATTTTCAGAGGCAGGTACCACAAATTGGATTGGCCTCACATGCTTATCTCTCAGGTTCCTGAAACCAGCCTGCTGATTCTCAAATATAGTTCTAATATTTTCAAGCTTGAGTTGGACAGTCTGCATTTGAACCTGTAGGTTGCATAAGAATTCTATGAAGTATATTGTGAAATGGGATCAGAACAAAAGCCGTATTACATTTCTCACATTCAGACAAAAACAGTTTAAAATACAACTAGAAGAAATTTAGGAAAATAACAGAAAGTGGAGTAATGTATTTTCTTCAAATGGATATAGAGCCAAGACCTCAAAACAACATGAGGAAGAAATCTAACAAGCAGTCATAAAATCGTTTTAGAAACAATCAAATGAACAAATTGTCATAGTACTTTGTTACATCTTAGTCTGCTCTTTAGTTCTCAGTGTGTTCCTGGCTCCTCAGAGCCACCAATGGAAAACATATCCTTCTGCCCCTCCTAGATACTTTGAAGCAACTAGAGTTAAGCTTGGTTGCTTCCAGAGAATCTCTTGGTTATTGCCAAAGCATGTTTCTGATCTTCTGGGGCAACCCTAAGGATCTGCAGCTAGGCATGGATTTACATATTGCTCCAAATTTAGGGTCATTTACACATTTTATCAGCAAATAGTATCACAAATGCTCTTATCTACAACATGATAAGAGCATTTGTGATACTTCATGTTCTTCATGTTCCAAGGGAACAGTACCAAACCAACCTATAGCTCTCCCGTTAAACCATACCAACTTCTACTTGCTCCCCCTCCTCCAAGAATACCCAGACCCTTTCTTTAATCCTTCATTTCAAACAGAGTAGGAAAGCCAGATCTGTGTTCATAGAGCACCTGTAGGTGGCCACTATGGCACAAAGGAAAGATGCTTGAGGTAGAGTGCTTCTGACATGGGCCCAACATTCTATATCAGCTTTGGCCCCGTCTGTAAGAGCTCCTAGTATATTTTAAAAGTTTGAAAATAATGAAATTGGAGCTCACAAAAGAAATTAGTTTTCATTATATAGTAAGCACATGCCTTTGGATTTTTTTAATATTTATTTCTTAGTTTTTGGTGGACACAACATCTTTATTTTTATGTGGTGCTGAGGATTGAACCCTGCGCCCCGTGCATGCCAGGCCAGCGTTACCGCTTAAGCCACATCCCCAGCCCCGCCTTTGGATTTTTTGATGCTTGACAGTGGTACTATTATCACCTCTTATTCTCAAGAAGGACTGCATACATTCAAGTTGACAAAGTTAGTTGTAAGATAAAAAAGAGCTTATGGTACAATAACTATGATTTTCTTATTTGTTTCAAAAACAAAACAAAACAAAACCACCTCCTACCTTGAGTTCAGGAGATAACATTACATCAAATTCATACTGCAGGGTTTCAGCATCATAATTGATAAAAGGTAGAGCCATTTCAAGAAAATTTTCAATGTCTTGAAGGGCTTTCTGGGCATCTTCTTTAGACTGAAACTTATCCATTTCCTGATTAGCTAAAAGACATTCCCCTTCATCACAGCACTGACGAGCCTAGTGAGAAAATCAAGAAAATAAATATGAATGAATAAAGAGGAAACAGGTTTGCCGTTAAGAGAGTAGTCATCAGCCCTCACTGCTGTGAATTAGGATTGCTTTCAGAGCTGTTCAAAGATAAAGATATCTGGGTTCTGCCCCCAGAAATTCTAATTCAGCAGCTCTGGGCTATAAGTCAGACATTTATACTTTTACAGAGCTCCGCAGGTATTGCTGATGCACAGTCAAGGTTAGGAAGCACTGCATTTATTTCATAACAAGTAATTTATTCTGCAGCAGGGGTCTGGCCATTTTCTCAATACTAACACTTTAGTTGCACACTATTTTCCCAAAGTCAATAATTGAAATATGAAACTTCTAACAAACTATAAAGTGTAATATAAATGTTTATTGATTGCAAAGGACAAGAATAAATGTTTCCTTACCAGAAAAGATGTACAAATCAAAATGTTTGTGTTCAGATGTGATGTCTGTAAGTGATACTCCTATTTTACATTCAATTGACAATGCCAGATCTGTATGGTGACTTTTCAATTCATTGCCTAATCAGAAAAGGGCTCAGATCCACAAGACATGGAGGAGTATTTTCCAGTCGCTATTTAATTTTTTAGAGCTGTACTATAAAATGTGAAAGGAATTTCAAGCTATAGAAAATGCTCCCCAGACTTTTAAAAGTGTTCTGAGCATAAACTGTCACCAGCAGAGTCTTCAGAGATACACTCAAAGTAGAAAGGAAGCCATTACCACCACAATCTTGATATTCAGAACAGAGGGCAAAATTTGTACTGTACCAAATCTGCCATGAATACTGTTTCAGTAAATAGATAGACTGAAAAACCATAATCAAACTCAGTCCTTAAGACCCTTTGAAAATTAAATTCACAGCTATACCAGACTCTGATCCTATAGCCTCTGAAAAGATAAAAAGTATGCCATAAAGGCAATTTATGTCAGGCCAGGAGAACCCAAGAATAAACTTACTCTCTTTTTCAGAAACGGATCATTCCCCATCACACTACCTGCTGTAGGAGTTTATGCATTTTGAAGGTCCTGCTAAGCTGAATCCGTTTTGCCTTGATCTCATTAACCAAAATATCAGAAAGGTAACGTAGCTCATTGCATCTCTGGCAGATTAAATCAAGTGCATAATGGTGATTTGCTGCAAGCCTGTGTCCATGTAATATCACAAATCGGGCTTTTGTTAATAGATCCTGGTTTTAAGAAAGAAAGAAAATAATGACTGCATGACCTCTGTTCATACAGAGGAAAAAAAGAAAACAATTTAGAAGCAAATTGTTTGAGCAGGGGACATACATGGCCAAAAAGATGATTTGATGCCATACTTCTGCAGGCTGCCCCCCCGAAAAAAAAAACTTAGTTATAATAATTAGCTAGAGCAGAAGCTTATGCATTTCTAGTTACAGAAATTGAAAATTAACATCCCATCCCACTGAGAATGTAGAAGAGATTTACTTCTCCTGATATGTACAGATTTAAAACACAAACACATACAGCAATTGAGATACACACCAGCCAAGCAAAAGCTAATGTACTTCATATCATTCCAGGCTTGCAAATCTCCTTATAATCACTATTCACATGATTACTTATTTTTATTGGTGCATTATAATTATACCTAATAGTGGGATCAATCTCATTCCCCAGTTACCTTCCCTTTTTTTATAGGGTTCACTGTGGTATATTTAAACTGGACACAGCATAATTTGGTAGACGTTGTCGTCCAGTACTTCTCCATGCCCTCCCTTTCTCATTCCCTATTAATCCCCTTCCTCTACTCTGCTGGTCTCCCTTACTATTTCCATTAGATCCTTTTCCTCTCTCTACCTTCCAAATGAGAGAAAACGCTCACCTGAGCACTTTTTTAAAAAAAATGTTTTTTTAGTTGTCAATGGACCTTTATTTTATTTATTTATATCTGGTGCTGAGAATTGAATCCAGTGCCTCACCTGTGCTAGGCAAGCACTCTACCACTGAGCTCCAGCCCCCCACCTGAGCACTTTTAACATACCTAATATAAATCTCAAAAGGGAATTTTGCATCATTGCTTCTGCTCTGTCAACTTCTAACTCCCCCAGTATAGTGACTAAATCATGGGAGGAGCTCAGGAAATGCACATCAAGGCAAAATAAAGAAAACTAAAGCAAGAAATGATAAAGGGACTAGCCTGTCTAGCTAGTGGGAAAGCCAAGATTAAAATGKGGAGTTGCTGTTTAACGGGTCTAGAAATTCAGTTTCAAAAAATGAAAAAGTTCAGAAGATCTCATGCATAGTGACGTGAATTTACCAAGCACTACTGAACTAAACATTTAAAATGGTTAAGATAGACAGAGCTTCAAGATGGCAGAACAGCCAGGTGTGGTGGGGCATGCCTATAATCCCTGGGCTGAAGCAGGAGGATCGTGAGTTCAAAGCCAGCCTCAGCAATGGCAAGGCCCTAAGCAACTCAGTGAGACCCTGTCTCTAAATAAAATACAAAATAGAGCTGGGGATGTGGCTCAATGGTTGAGTGCCCCCGAGTTCAATTCTTGGTATCCCGGCCCCCAAAAAATAGCAAAACAGAGACAGTGGACAGTAGTTTGCTGCTGATGGAGAAAAGGAACCATGGATAAGCATTGGAAATTGATGACACAGAAGACTACCTGATGGCCAGGCGTGTTGGTGCATGCCTGTAATCCCAGCAGCTTGGGAGGCAGAGGCAGGAAGATCCAGAGTTCAAAGCAACTTTAGTTCAATCCCAGTACAAAAAAAGAAAGAAAGAAAACAACACGGTAGAGTACGGAGAACAGCAAAGCAGGAGAAATGGAATATCCCAGCTCCTGGTACTCAGCAGCTTAGTGGGGAAAGGGTACTGTCCCCTCTGAAGGGATAAAGGTGAAAGAGTCACACAGCATGGTGCAGAAGGCTGAACCTTGCAAATAAATAGTCTATATAAATAGGTGACCTGCATAAAAAGCTAGCTTTAGAGAAGGAACTCACTGCATCTCTCAGCAAACCCTCAGAATGCTATAGCCAAGAGCCATCTTGCAGAGGGTCCTATGGTTAGAGACTAAACTGCTAGGGGGGTCAGAAAACCTAGCAAAATCACATCTCAGGGACCCAGTGAACACCTCATCACATTGGGGAAGCAGCAACCACACAAGACAGGGCTTGAAGGAGTGTCTGTGATAAAAAGCTCACTGAGAGGTATGTGCTGCGGGGGGAGCGTAGGCTGGGACTGGGGCAGGGCACACAGACATTCAGCAATCCTGCTCTCTGTGCCATAAAGTGACACTGATCATGTATTGTTTCACATGGGGACCAAATCTGAAGGCACCAGGATTGAGACTAGCAAAATACTTGGTTCCCATACCCTTCTAAGACAGAACTTGATGGTACAGTTATTCCCCTCACCCTTAGAGGTATTCTGTGGATCCACAAAGGCATGGACAAATGTCACCTCAGGGAACACAACATAAAAGCCTCCAGAGCAAATATATACCTGTACAGCACCACACTCACCAAAATGTAGTAATGTAAGAAGGGCTCAGCGCAGCGCCGACGTTTACCGTAACCAGGGTGTGCACAGTCTATAAAGCCTCCAGAGAGGATCTAATTCAGGTGTGGTGAACATTCCCTTAACTTGTTCATTGGGAAAGACAGAGCACAGCTTGTTTTTCTGCCCAACCTTCTGGGGGGACCTGAGAGGAATTATAACAAGCTGCAGCTGTGACCCATTACCCCTCTCCTCCATACCTGGTGGATTTTATTAGAAGTGCCAGAGGGAGAGAAGTGGTTCCAAGTGTGTTGCATTACAGAAGCTACTTAAGAGGGGGTTAGGGATGAAGATTAGTGGTATAATGCTTGCCTAGCAGGCATGATGCCCTGGGTTCAATCCCTAGCACCACAAACAAAAAACCCAAGAAACCAAAAACTTCCTACATCCAAAAATGAAAAATGATAAACACAATCAGGACAGCATGGGAAAGAAATAAATCTTGAAATAAGGGGAAAACAAATCTTCAGAGAATTAGGAAATAATCAAACATTATTAATACAGATAACCGAAAAATCTAGATGAGTAAGACAGGAGAATATGAACATAGAATATTCAAAACAAACAGAAGAAAAACAACATAACTGTAACCAACTACACATCACACAACATATTTCAATAATAATCCTGAAAGCAAATATGTTAATTCCCCAATTAAAAGACACAGATTGGATGTATGATTGGATTAAAATTCAAGATCCAATAATCCACTGCCTGCAAGAAACTCACCTCACTGACAAAGATATGCACAGACTGAAAGTGAAAAGATGAAAAGTGATAATCCATGTAAAGAAAATCCAAAAGCAAGTAGGAATAGTGATTCATATCTGACAAAGTAATCTATGAGCCAAAATAAGTTAGAAAAGACAAAGAAGGTCACTACACATTGACAAAGGGAACAATTCATCAATAAGATGATTATAAATATATACATATGCACCAAACATTAGAGCTGCCAATTTTATAAGGCAAACTCTATTGGACATAAAGGGAGAATTCACTCCTAGTACAATAATAGCAGGTGATTTTAATACCCTCACTGTCACCAACAGATTACACAGATAAATAACAAAGAAACATCAGTTATATTATACTATAGATCAAATGGATCTATAGTATTATTAACATTTTGTAGATTAACAGAAATCTACAAAATATTTTATTCAACAACTGCAGAATACACATTCTTTTCATCAGCACCTGGAACTTTTTCCAAAAATAGTTCATACATTAGACCATAAAACATGTCTTCACAAATTCAAAAAACTGAACTAATTTCTTGCATCTTATTGGATCATAATGGGATGACACTAGAAGTCAACAGCAAGGGAAATTACACAAACATGCAAAATGAACAATACACTTTGAAGGAACAGTGGGTCACTGAAAAAATAAGGGATGAAATTGTAAAATTTCTGAAGTCAAATTAAAATGGAAACATAATGTACTATCAGAGGCAGTTCTTTTATTATTTTTTATTTGTTCTAATTAGTTATACATGACAGCAGAATGCATTTTGACATATTGCAAACAAATGGAACACAACTTCTTATTCCCCTGGCTGTACATGGTGCTGAGTCACACCACTAGTATAATCATACATGTATATAGGGTAATAATGTCCATCTCATTCCACTGTCCTTTCCACCCTCACACCTCTCCCCTTCTCTCCTCTGCCCAATCCAAAGTTCCTCCATTCTTCCCAGGCCACCCCCCATTATGAATCAGCATCTGCATATCAGAAAAAAACATTTGGCCTCAAAGGCAGTTCTAAGAGGGAAGTTATAGCTATGAGTGCCTACATTTTAAAAACATCACAAATAAATAATCTAAAGATGCATCATCTTAAGATCTTAGGAAAACAAGAACAAATTACTATATTTCACTGCATAAGCATCACCACTATATTAATATGTATTCATAAGTATTCTATGCATCCTAATCTTGCACCAAAGACATTTAGTGATAAATGATATTTAAGTAATACCAGCACATTATTTTTTGTTTGTTTGTTTGTTTGTTTGTTTTGGTGCTGGGGATTGAACCCAGGGACTTGTACATGTGAGGCAAGCACTCTACCAACTGAGCTATATCCCCAGCCCTCCAGCACATTTTTTAAAAAGCTTTACATAATGCTTGTATCCTACTTTTTTCCACAAAAATAGAGCATAAAATCTGCAATGATTATGTAGTGAAATATGGTAAAACAAAAATAAGCAGAAAAAAAAAGAAAAATAAAGATCACGACAGAAATAGAATGAAATAGAGACTAAAAGAACAATATAAAGGATCAGTAAAACAAAGAGCTGGTTCTCTGAAAAGATAAACAAGACTGACAAACCCTTAGACAAACTAACCAAGAGAGAAGACCCAAATATATAAAAATCAAAGACAAAAAAGGGGATGCTACCACAGATACCACTGAAATCCAGAAAGTCATTAGGGAATATTTTGAACAATCATTTTCCAATAAACTGAAAAGTCTAGAAGAAATGGGCAGATTTCTAAATATATATGACCTATCAAAATTGAACTAGGAGGATATAAAAAACAGAACATGAATAACAATGAAGCAATAATAAGAAGTCTCCAAACAAACAAACAAACAAAAAAAAAGCCCAGGAGAAGATGATTTACTGCTGAATTTTACCAGACTTA